TTTCACTATTTAACACGGATGGTTTTAACCAAGTTTCAGAAAATACTATAACATCATAATTAAACCCAAGGCTATCAGAGAATAATCGAGTTAATTTTGTGTTTAACCCTCTTACATTCTGATAGCAAACATTGAGAAACATATTTAGTTTTTTGGCAATATTTCAGCCCTCTGAGGCAAATGAGCTAAGTTTTCAGATCTTTCCAGAAATTCCTTTACAAATGCATTAGCAGGCCAAAATTCTCTCGAAATTAGTCGATGAAACATACTTTCTTGTACTACGATTTTAAAAGATGATCTACTTTCTGAGAAAGCAGACCGGAGCTTATAACAACGTAGAAAGAAATTTCCATCGATTTTTGATTTTATATAATAATTTATATCCTCAGCCGAGGTATCTGGTGCAAACCTAGATACAAATACCATTTTCATGGTGGGAGCCATAGATAATGGTCTTTGACCAGGTTGGAGGGAATTGCTAGTGCCAGCTACGGAAGACGCATTAGATGATTGAACTGATGATTCCCGATTTCCGTGAGTAGGTTTTGAAGTCTTTTCCAGACTAGCACTACTTATACTCACAGATTTTGGATTAATCACTTCATTTACATCCTTAACGGTTTCCGAGGCCGAATGTGACGCAACACTAGCATATGTCTGGACACAATCAGTTTCCGTTGTATCTGTGATATTGACGGAAGGTGATTGTGGCACTGTATTCCCAACAGAAACTGTGGGTTTGCGACTAGACACGACTTTATTGGGAGCCTTTTTCGCAGACCTTTTACGTTTCTGCCCAGACACAGACGGTGATGATACAAATTCATCAAGCTCTTGGTACTTGTCGAACAAATTTGAAAAATTGTTAGAAATTAAATATTTTTTAAACGAGCACAGAGCACCACAAAATTAGTGATAGATCATTTTTTCGTCGAAACGATTATCCAGTAGATGAGCGAATTGCTATAATCCGCATAAAAGTGAAGTTCTTCTTCATCAGTCTTATGCCCCAGCTCAAAATGGATATAAAAGCGAGCCTACTGATGGTTCCCTTAGAAGGGGTAGGCCACGAATTTGATGGAAAGGCCAAGTAGAAAAAAATATCTTGCTCTTTCAAATTGGAGAAGATGCGCACAAGACCGACGCGCTTTGAAATCTTTTTTAAGCCCGGCTTATGGAACAACTCTTCTGTAAAAAGCCAGCTAAGTAAGTAAATAACGTCCGTTTAATCTATTTTAGCCTCAAAGAAGGAAACATTTTAGAGTTTGACCAATATATAAAATATTGTGTTGAGCATCAAAAATGCTGTTGTGAGCTAAAAACTTTTACTGGTCAACGTAGGCGTTTATCTCTGTTCATTCTGTTGTGATTGATATATTTTTTGATAAAATATATTCTGTACTACTCGATCAATCGACTTGATATTATAAATGCCAATATTAATCGATATTTCCTCGCATACTGCAAAAATATTCCGTCCTTTTTCAATCAAGTTTTTCAAGAGTGAATAGTTCCTTTAGGTAAATTTCAAATATGTATTTATTTTAAAAATTATTTATTGTTTTCTACTAATTCAGCAATTTCTGGTACATCCGGACCTTTATTTTCTATAATAAGGTTGATTTTCCGAATGTAAGGTGTACTGTACAAATTGTTGTCAATTTTGATAGATTTTACAAATTAAAAAAAAAATCATTGGTAAATGATTTTATTGGTGTTTCGTTTACTTAATTTAACAAGTTTAAGGAGACCCCCCCATTCTCGGGGTCAAAATTTTTGTTGATATAATTCGAATCTACACTGATTAAAGAATGTCTCTACAAAATTTCAAGTGAAAATCTCAAGAACTCTTGAAGATATAGCCGATTTATTGTATCAGCATCAAGTGACGGCTGAAGGGCTTCTCAAACTTTAAACGCGTTTTTCTCTAAACATTTTTTTGCGAATGGCGGGCACGATAACTCAAAAACTAATAACCCAATCGGTTCCAAATTTTGCAACGTTTCTCTGGGAGTGTATAGCTCTCGTATGAACTAGGATAAAGCAAATCGGTGAAGATCTTACTTATTTTTTAACTTGGTTTTTGGTAAAAAAATCGGCGATTTTTCAAAAATATTTTTTCAAAGGTCCACCATTTTGTTAATTTTAGAGCGAAGTCAATAATCCTGGTTCATACGAGAGCCAGACATGTACTCTTTCTAACACCGTTGGAATTTTCGGATTCCGATGTTCCAGTGAGGAGTTATCATGCCCGCCATCTTTAATTACAAAAAACAACAACAAAACAATAACACACATTTTTTGTAAATTATATTTCTTCTCTTTTAAATCTTCAAATATATATGTGCAAAGTTACAAACCTTAACAAGCATTGGTATTGATTTACCAGCCCATTGAAAATCTTCCTGGCCTTAAGGAAAAAAATAAATAAATCAACATAAGAGTAAAAAATCACACAATGTTTTAATTATGTGGCTGAGTTTTCAAAAAAACCGTTATTTATAGAAAATTTGTATGCAATAATTTTCTATTTTCGCACTTAATCTCTTAAGAACAGTATTTATAAGTGTTCTGTATTATATTTTTTGTAAAAAATGCTTTCTGATCCAAAAATGTTTACCACATAAAATGTTTTAATTACGTGACCACCACTCTATATATATATATATATATATATATTATTGCCGATTTTTTAATATTCCATTCCAAAAAATGTTCTGACTCCGAAACCGTGCGCGATCAAATGTTTGGCTGATGCGCGTAAAAGTTATCGAGGTTTTAATTTTGGGCATAAGAAAAAAATTTTAAAATTGCGCCGTTTATTATATTGACCAAAAACGTTGATATATATCTTTCTCCGTAAAATAAGAATATGAATATGTTATAATAATCGCGATAAAGTTGCACATCTTCGCGAAATATGAGAAAAATAAAAAATATAGGGGATTACATTAATATTTTCATTATGTTAATGACATAATCTATACACCATGATGAATCAAATGATATCAAAATCACACAAGTCCGTGTAGCGGTTTGTAAATCACAGCGACAACAAAACAAGATATTGAGGAAAAATATTTGTTTTTGGTTCGAAAAAATAATGTCATCATATTTATTTTTTAATTTTATACAAGAAATTTCAGAAAAAATGTTGGGGTTATTCAGCTATTTTACCCGAATTTCGGCGAAAAATTGACATATATAAAAATAATCACTTCTTGTGTATAAGTATACACCTTGCGGATTTTAGCAAGACCCTTCCGATAAATCTTGGGGTTTTATAAATAGGAATAAATCTTAAAATAAAATAATATTATGAAATATACATTTTAAATTGCGTCTAAATCGCGTAATTATCAAAATCATTTGATGCGCATGCGGTTTCCAGGAAGTACTTTATCTTCCAATCCATATATATTTTGCAAAATTTCATTTGACGTCTAAGATGAACTACATGTTGCATTGAAGTACCCAAAAACTCGTAAAACTCGAATAATTTTCGAAAACTACATATGCCATTAACGCGCATCCGATTTCGGTGTGCACCCTAAAAAAATACATCGATCTATACCGATTTCAATGTGGTCCATTAAGAACCATGGGTGTGCCAGCTCACACTATTTTTGAAATAAATTGGTACCCAATTTCTCTTTCGGCTGAAGTTTTTAAAGTTCTCTTTTCGAAAAAGATCAAAATCCGTATGAGGTCATTTATTGAAGCGGAAATGATCCACAGAAAACGCAAATAAATCCGCGATATTTTCAAACACATTTTTTTGGCAAATTTCGTGTTTTTGGAAGGCCAGTTCCCGCCGTACTAGTAGATGGATTTTCACGAAGAAGGTTTTATATCACCCGAAACGTAAAAAATCTTATTGATCGCGGGTACCCATATCATTCAGTTGACAGATCTAAAAATTTGGCCCGAAAAATAGGTTTTTTTAGAAATATGATCGCACAAAATTTTCACCATCGGATGAGTATCACTCTGAAGCTGTGCATACTACATACACAAAATACATATAAAATTACGCAGATTCGCGACTACAATAATCTTATAATCGATTTTTAGAAATTCCTGTTTGCGTATTAAAGCTAGAAGTAAGCAACATTTTTTTAAAAATGAATTTAATTCAAAAATGCTAAATGCTTTTGGAAAAACTTATTTTGTATATTATTGATTTTTTAAATATTTTGTTTTGCAAAATTAATATACTTACCATGAACTTCGTTGTCCAATTAATTTTTTATTGAATACACATTGTTTTAAGTTCGACCAATTAACTCAAGTAAGTAGCATACAACACATCGGGAAAATCTATATTCAAATGTAGTAAACAAATTCAACATTAAAAGAATGTGCCGTTTGCACCTATAGAGCAGTGTGGTGAAGGGTATAAAAAAGAACATTTTTGAATACTGCATGTAATTTTCATAGATACATTCTCAAAGTGACAAAAAAAAAGAACGCTAAAACTATTTCAAATGCTGTCTTGCATGCCCTAGATTAGAGAAAGGCAGTGGATAAATACCCGATATATTACCCATACCCATCTCCGCACTAAAAATTATTAATATTGACCCAAGTCGGCACTTTGAGAATTGGCTTTAATTGGCCGAATTGGCTGTAATTTGGTATTTTGTACCCTCATTGGCTGTCAAATCTCACAACCAAAATATCAATATTGATGCCCCTTTTTTATGGTAGTCCCACTATTAGATATTTTGAGAAATCTAATCATCTTTTTCTCGCGTATTTTTCGGTATGTTTAAGGTCTTATCATAACATGAATTTTCTCCTAGGAGCCCCCTTAATTTTAGATATTTTGATTGTAACACTCATGGTCGAAGGTATAAAAATTCGGCCAGTCCGAACTTAACGATTTTACTTGTTCCATATGTATATTGCATTCTCCATTTTGCAAGCCAATTTCATTGTACTATTATAATAATTTTTCGAATCAACGCAAATATTGAATAATGATTACATAATTTTAGATGCACCAACATGTACCACCAATCAAAGTGTTATATACGGAGCTGCAAAACAGGAAGATGTAAAAATTAAATGTACGGTTGACGCAAACCCACAAGAAGTTGAATTCTCTTGGACTTTTAATAACTCCGCAGAAAGTATCGATGTTGCTACTAATCATATTTCCCGAATAGGTAAGTAATTAATTTTTCAGTACTTAAGTACAAGTTTTTAAATAGAACTATCTATAATTTAAGAAATTAAAATCTAGCGGGGAAAATTTAATAACTTTAAAATGAATATATGTAGGGTAAAAGCACCAATAGTCGGCACTTTAAGAATTTCCGCTTTTTAAACGTTTCACCATTCCAAGTGCATATTTTTCACGATACTAGCGCTGTCTGTTTTCTCGATATTTGGTAACAATTGTTACCAAATGTTACTAAATGTTGTAGGTTTACCCAAAAATCCAGTAAAAGAGAGTTAAGTGAGAGAGAGCAAGTTTGACAGTCCAACAACAACAAACTTACTGGGGTTTACTGAAAGAATTTTATGCAGTAAGATTTTGCAAACTCAGCCATTTTTGGATCAGCTTTTTATGACCAAACACAAAAATTATTAAAAACATTTTTTTTTAATTTTCAAAGTTCAATTTGAACTTAAGTTGCATAAAAATTTCAAAAAATGGAAGAAAATTAGTAAGTAATGCTAAGTTTCATTAAATTAGAAACTAATTACTTATACAGTAGACCACAGATATAGGTTAGGTTAGGGGATGTGCAGTCACTTATGTAGCTGCAGCACTCTGAGACCGGTTAGGTCCGTTGTGATCATCCACAAGAAGAGATACGGTGAAGAGAAGAGACAAAATACAGATCTATAGGGGAGAGAAGATTAGTGAATTAAAGAAGAGTTGAGAGAGTTAAGGTCGATGGCTCTATAAGTCAGACAGTCAAGGTTGTATGTTCCTAACCACTTTATGTTTCTAATTATGCTGTAGACTAGAGCAGGTTCGGTTGTTGAGAAGAAGCTGAGACTCGGTAGAAAATGAGTACCCACTAGTATGTGCCGTCTGTAAGCCAGGGCTGGGCAATGACACAGGAGGTGCTCAAATGTCTCCGTCTCCTCCTCGTCAACACAGAGTCTACAGTAATCAATTGCATCAAGATCCCATTTACTAGTAAAAGACCTGATGTTGCAGTTGCCAGTGATGATTCCCGTCATCACTCTAATTTCAGCTTTGCTCAGGTTCAACAGTGAGCCTCTACACTTGAGGACGGCTTCGGATTTGATATAACAAGATTTGATGGCTTTAAGAGCCGCATGACTATCCACAAAGATAGTCACCGGTTCAACGACCTCAGCATCCAGACTTTTTACCAATTCCGCTGCTTCCAGATCGCGAAGATTTCAGCTTGGAAAACACTACACGCGTTGGTCCAATGCTATAATTGGTTCACTACCCTACCATGCCCAAAGGTACAGTTCCGCCAGAGTTTTTGTGCATGCAGCCTTAGGGCGCTACGCGGCCTGATACTTAATGCCGAGGCCCAGAGGGTTAAAGTTCAGCATTGCGTTCAGAGCTGCTTGTGGCGTACTCCTTCTGGCTCCTGTAAAATGGCGGCGGCTCTTTGTACCTTGTCGACTTGAGGCTCAGACAGTTCCACCAAACAAGAGAACCATAGGACATGATGGGCCTCACCATAGTGTTATACAGCCAGTGTATAGTCGATGGTTTTAGCCCCCAGATTTTCCCAATGGAGTTCTTGTATGCATAGAGTGCAATCATCCCTCTCTTCGCCCGCTCCTCAACGTTCCTTTTCCATCGTAGTTGACAGTCCAGGATTGTGCCGAGGTACTTTGCTTTGGGAGATAGGTGAAGTTGCACTCCATCCAGTGTTGGTGGAGCAAAAACGCCGAGCTTACGCTTCCTAGTGAACATTGCCAGTTCCGTCTTCGTTGGATTTACATCAAGACCATTTGCCCTGACCCAGCGCGACAGCAACAGTAAGGCTCTTTGCATAAGCTCCAAGATTGTAGACGGAAATTTTCCGGAAATCAATATCACCACGTCGTTCGCATAAGGTACAACTTTGATACCTTTCCCGTCCAATTCCCTCAGTATCATATTAATTACCAATAGCCATGGTAACGGCGAAAGCACCCCTCCCTGAGGTGTGCCTCTAGTTACCGTTTTCTTGATTTTTGAATCCCCCTCACTTGAATTTATAATTCTGTTATTAAGCCTTTTATCTATCCAATATGTCAGGGTATCAGGAATGCAAACTTCTTTATGTTAGTGGTTTATGGATTCGTTGCTAAATGCTCCCTCTATATCTAAGAAGGCGACCAGCGTAAAATTTGAATTTTCCATGTTCCTCTCAATGTAGCCTACCACTTCGTGCAGTGCATTCCACAGACTTGCCCTTTATGTATGCGTGTTGTGAGTTGCTAAGAGAGGTGGTGTCTATACGACTCCTTATCTCCAGGTCGATCAGTCTTTCGAGAGTCTTGAGGAGAAAGGATGACAAACTAATGGGTCTATAGTCTTTAGGTGCAGAGTGGCTTGGTTTCCCTGCTTTGCGAATGTAAGTAACCTTTACCTCGTTCCATAGATCCGGAACATACGAGAGAGTCAAATACGCAGTATAGATCTTCTCAAGGATCAGATATATACTTGGCGAGGCATATTGAAGCATCGCCGGTAGAATTCCATCTGGTCCTGGTGATTGGCCCATAGTATCTTTTTTCTGTTAACCACCTTGCTAATGAGATCCAGATCCGGAGTGGCAAAAGGCTGAGTGTCATCACGTTCACCGTCGATTGTACCCATATCTTTGCAACCTGGGAAATGAGTCTCGGCTAAGAGATTTAGAGTCTCAGAACCTGAATCCGTCCACGCTCCATCCTGCTTCTTAATACTACCGATGGACGTAGTTTTCGAAACCTAGCAGCGTCGTTGACTCCTTCTATCGACTCACAGAAATTTACTCATGACTTTTTCTTCGCTCGTTTTATCTCACTCTTGTATTTGTTGAAACTAGCTCTATAGGCTGAACTATAGGAGTTCAGCTGGCAGTTCGTTAGCTCCGTGAATTTGTCCCAGTTTGTTCTCTTTGGATTCCGATAAGGCTGTTGTTTACATCCGTCCAAAGAGTACTAGAAGAGAATCTTTAAATGATCCGAGAAGGAACATTCATCAGATACCCTCCAATTTCTGATGACGGAGACATCTAGATTTGAGAGGGTTAAGTCAGTGACCTCCTCTCTATCCTTAACTTCGGATCACTACCCCTATTACATATGCGTAAATTATAGGATAAAATGAAATCGAAAATGGACTCACCTCGTTTGTTTTGTATCTTTGCTACCCCATTGAAAATGGTGAGCATTTGCATCCCAAGATAACATTGCAGGTGCTCGTCATTTCATCGAGCATTTTTTGTACACCGGTGCTGAGTGGATCCATCTCCTCAAAGGGCATATAGACTGAGGAGAGCAGGGTGGCCTTCCCCGTCGAATGCTCCAGCCTTACGGTGCACATGTCACCATTGCTGTAATTAGATAGAAAGATCAGATTTCAATTCTTATTACCTACTATACATGTTCGAACCTTGTCCCCCATGGACGCGGCAAATATGTCAAAGTTGGTATTCCTTAGTCCAGAAACCATATTTTTATAAATATATGGCTCCTGAACTAAGGCAATGTCCACTTCAGAGTTCGTGAGGGACAGGAGTAGTTCGGCGGCTGGTGCCTTGCAATGATGCAGATTGATCTGCTTTATGCGCAGCCTATGCCGCTTCCCTACTCCTACTGAGTTTCGGTGACCAGGGATATAAGAACATCCAAAAAAAATCGTGAAATTTGTTCTTATAAACAGATTTTTCTTATATGAATGTATTTTATAAAACAAACTGTTTTCATATATGTGTGAAATATTTTCTTATATCCGTGTATTTCTTATATAAGATGTTCTTATATCCGTGGTCTGCTGTATATTTTTAGGCAAGTTCGGATAGAGGGCAATGTATTGATGCAGGATGTTTAAATGTTCCCGGGGAACATACCAAATCAATGTTTCTTTTATTATTCATTTTATTTTTAATATCAAATGCAATACAAATAATTGTGTCCGTCCTTTGTTTCTTGATTATTTTGGCGCAAATCAAATGTTTTCATGAACCAGCTGTTTATTTGCTAAATCTTATTAAATGCTTTATTTTCTCAGCATTATCGCAAAAGAGAGTAAATAATGCTTACTCCCTGAACTAGAACTTACTGAATAAATGTTACAGAAAAAGTAACCAGAAACACCTATTGTATTTAGGTTCATCTGTTTCGGAATTTTGTTCACTGCTCGATGGAATACAAATTTGTTTAATTAACTTCTATTAAAGTAGATTAAATTAATAATTATGTAAAATAGTGCCTTTGTGCCAATTGTCTGCACTTTTTTCCAATAGTCGGCATGTCGCATTTTAGTTAAACAAAAATTATATATTTAATCGATTTTTCTGCTATTTGCAATAATAAATTATTACTTTGTGACGTTTCCATCAGTGTTGTATTGAAAAGGTTATATAAAATAGCATTGTTTATTAAAATATCAAAATTATAAAACATGGTGCCGTCTTTGGGAACCTGTTATCCAATTTTCGGCATGGCTAAATAAGGCATTTCAGAGGTTAAAGAAATTTAAGATAAAACAATGTCTTCCATTATGTAAAAATACTCAAAACTGATTTTTTATAAATTAATCGTTAATTAGAGCATTTATTAAATTTTTTCCACCCATACCTTAAAAATGTTTGTTCCTAAAAGCGACATCGATAAAAATATCATAATTACAAATATTTTTTAATGGTTTTAAATTCTAAAGTATTCTCCTCTATGTTCTTTACAATTACGAAGAATATCCTTGTAAAAATATATAATATTAATATAATTAATATATGGTGCCTACCGGAAAAAATGGACCTCTATTTATAATTTTTAGTGGGGAAATTTGGTACCCAAAAAGAACCTCTTGTACTAAATTTCAGCGAATTCGGTTTAAAAACGCGATTAAGCCCCCCAAAATACCGTAAATTCGGGGGTACTCTTATAAGGGGGCTACCAGAAAAAGTGGACCGATATTTATAATATTTTAATTTTAATACCCAAAAAAGAACCCAATGTACCAAATTTCAGG